CAAGAATTTACTTAACGTGATTGTGATCAACAACCTTTACTACTTATGAATATAAGTTCATAACGATTAGGTGAAACTTCCTTATATCCTAGCATCAAACTTATGCATGAAAATTAAGCGTGCACTCTCAACCAACATACACAAATTAGTTTTAATTCATAGAGATAAGTAAATTAAATTCACAATTCATGAAACGCAATTGGAAGTAATCAAATCATATAGCAAGCATAAACATGGTTTTGAATCCCCCCCTAGCCAAGGGGGGTTTAGTTCCTCATACTCGCAATTACACAAAGATAACTTAATTTAAACACTGAAATCAAAGATAGAAAACACCTAGAAACGCTCCAACACTCCCAAGGCTTGGGCATAGGCACGGCACAAGATGTTCCTTCTCTTTCCTTCCTTGCAAGCAGCGGCACTAGAGGTTTTGGACGGTTTTGGGTGGTTTTTATGGTGTAGAATGGATGGGGAATGGTATGGAAAGGTTTAGGATTGATGGGTGGTGTGGCTAGGGGTGGTTTTTGGCTGAAATTAGAGAGAATGGTAGTGGGAAGTTTCGGCCAAAGCCAGGAGAAAATTTGTTCTCTTTTTGATGAATATGGAAGGTGGTATTTATAGGCTTGAGAGAGGACCACTCCATTTCCTTTGCATGTGCAGCTTGTGTGGGTGTGTGTTGGCATGTTTCCTCTTTTCATTTACACACACATGCTTCATCATTTCAACCACAACACACACACATTTTCTGCCCTATTTTCCTTTACATTTACACACACATGCTTCATCATTTCAAGCACCAAACCCACATTTTCTGCCCTATGCCGTGTGCTCCCATGTGGTTGCTTCAATGTTCTTCTCTTTGCCATGTGTTTGCTGCCATGTTTTCCCCTTTACATTTACACACACATGCTTCATCATTTCAACCACAAAACACACACAATTCCTTCTCCTTTGCCGTGAGTTTTGTTTTCACTTTGCATGTGGGTGTCTTTGCATGTGTTTTCTCCCTCCCTTGCCATGTGTTTGCATGTGTATGAGTTGTCATTGTTTATCCTTGCAATTGCACACACACACATGCACACACATATGCCCAAAACGTCCATCCTCATGCATGCAATCCATTTCAACCCAATATTGATCCAACATGCACCCAAATGCACTTTTCTTGCCAAGGTTGTTATTAAGACCTACAAACAAATGAAAATGGCTTTAAACACTAAAACAACTAAGGAAACACAACGTAAACGCACGAGAACAAGACAATTAAGTCGCATAAATATGCTCCTATCACCAACATAACTAATGAATCAGCTGAGTGGAAACCTAACTTAGTTGATTAGAGATGCCATGGTCTAAGTTCAATAGGCAAATTGGTTGGGCATGATTCAAATAAGTTAACACACTATATACCTCATTCCTATGATGGAAGAAGTGTGTTGTTTGCATACGGTTTAGGATGTATATTTATACTTAATGACATTGATATCTTATAAATAAGAGGAATATTGCAGAGTATTCTTAATCAGTGGTCACCTATGTGAGAGTAGAAGTGGGTTTCTTCTATGAGCATGAGATGGCTAAATTCTCTAAAGCTCTCATGAATTCGGGATTTGTTCAGGACCAAAATGAACACAACTGTATGAACCGGAATATATTAGGATTAGTGATGTGTGTTGCTTATTGTCTCGGTTTACTACTGTGGTGAACAGTTCAAGATTCTATATTCACTGCGCCACCAAGTAAATCCGATAAGTATTCACTAAGTCCAAAAGACACCTCTCCTGATGCATCTCTTATTCGCTTGTACTCTCAAATTCTTCCTAATTTTTCATTCATGTGGGGAATTGTTGGAAATTATATATTATAATATTTAATTTTTATATGAATGAAAAATAAAAGTCATGTGTCATATAGTTGAATTCAAATTCATGATTTGTGTCTGTTCGTTGAAACTTTAGGCAACGGTCACAATGTTTTAAACGGGGGTGGCTTGAGTTCTATATAAACTCAAACATCCCACATATATAAGGGATCGATTAGAAGAGTTTTCTCTAAGGTCTTTTATTCTTGGTTAGTCAAATTCCAAGTCGTGTCTTGAGAGTATGGAGACAAATTCAAATTATCTTTTATTTTTCTAGTTTAATTTGATTAGTAGACCACTCATAAATGATTTTCTCTATTATAGAAAAATAATTCAAATTAAACTAGAGTAATTTACTCGTTTGGATTAATCTTATTTGTTAACTTTCTCTATTAAAGATATTTGTTAACTTTTGCATTAATCTTTGACAAAATATAAAAGGCATGTTCAGAGGGGCAGGGAGATGGGGAGGGTGGGAGTAGGTGGTCTAAACCACCGTTTGGGAAAATTAAAGTCAATTGTGATGGTGCATGGTGCTCTCGACTGGGAAGGGGGGTTTTGGGTGGTTAGCAAGGGATTTTGCTGGGATTTTTGATCTGATAAAAGTTAAGTACACAAATTAAACCCTCTTTTGAGAGTTGTAGTTTATGTATAAGTAGGGATCGTTCTGGACCGGAGATTAGGAGGGATTGCTAATCTAATTGAAACTGACTTAAAAACACAAAATAAACTTAAAAACACTTAACAAGACTCACAAGACTCAAAACAAACTTAAAAGACTCAAAACAGCACAAAACAACCAAATAGACTCAAAACTGACTCTAGGGAGTTATTTGGACAAAAATTGGTTTTAACTTGACTCAAGACACTTAAAAACACAAACAAAAACAGATTTTAACTAATCTAACACTTCAAAGTAAAGGGGGATTGGGTTTTGGACGAAAATAAAGTAAAACAAACAAATTAAAGACTAAAACAGATTTTGGACGAAATTGGGAAATTGGATAGGTGATGGTCTAGCTAGAAGGTCCTTCTCCACACATGACACACTTGCGTACAAATCAATCTCCAATTGCTTTTCAATAAACCATGAACCTTAACACCCCAAGTTAATTAGGTACGCTTAAATTAACCCTCAGATTTTCCTTAAATCATTGAATTGAATGGAAATAGCGCATCGCAATCAAATTATTCCTTAAAAGTTCCCTATATGAAAGCGCATAATAGAGACACAATCAAAGATCATTAATTGCTATGAAAATCATAAGTGTTGACAAGGCATTCGTAACTATGAAAGCGCATGATACTTATGCCAGGAATTTACTTAACATGATTGTGACTAACAACCTTTACTACTTATGAATATAAGTTCATAACGATTAGGTGAAAATCCCTTATATTCTAGCATCAAATTAATGCATGCAAACTAAGTTGGCCACCTTAATAACCATACAAGAATAAGTTTTGAATAAAACAGTTAAGCGAATTGCATTCACAATTTATCAAATCGCAATTGAAACTAAATCAATTCATATTGCAAGTATAATCATGGTTTCGAATTCCCTTCTAACTATAAAGAAATTAGTTCCTCATGTTCTCAATTAGACAAAGATAACTTGACTTAAACATTGAAAACAAAGATAGAATACACCTAGAAACACTCCAGATGGCTCCTTCTTCTCCTTCCTTAGTTGCGGCACAAGAGGATTGTGGTGGATGGTGTAGTGGATGGATGTAGGTGATTTATGGTAGAGGGTGGTCGATTAATTCCTGCACAAAGGTTTGTATTTATAGGGAGAAAAGGTACAGCAAAAAGGGTTGAATTAGGGCTCCAAATCAGCAAAGAACAAGGACAATTCTCATCAGATTCCAAGGATGAAAAGGAGTAGGAAATTCGTCAGATTTCTAGGGGAGGAGATAAGGCTTCTAGAATCATATTTTTATGTGTCCAAATCTGAAAAGAACTCCCCCTTGCAGCTGGAATTAAGGTAGGATAAGATTAGGATTGGATAATACTAGATTAGGAAAGGATAAGATAAGATAAGGTTAGTTTGGATAAGATAAGGTTGGATAAGGTTTAAGATAATGTTTCTTCTTTTGAGCTGAGTTCTTATCTTCTTTGTCTTGGATTTATTTTCTTCATCTTTTCAGCACATTCCTAGCCTATTGAACTTCAAATTCGTCCATCCATCTTGCTCCATTCATAAGCTATCCATTTGGTGCCCAAAACTGCCTCAAAATGCTCCAAATTGCACTTTCTTGCTAACTTTGTCATTTGGACCTACAAACACACGAAAATAGCTTAAAACACTATAATAAACACAAACAAACTATGAAAATGCAAGAAAACAAGCTAACTAAGTCGCATAAATATGTTCCTATCAATTTTTAAAGTTGCAGGAGGGGTGGGTAATGTTTTGTGCCAGTCGGGTTTAATGGTAGAGGCGGAAGCAATGAGAGAGGCACTGTTGGCTTGTGTGGAGAAGGGTTATGAGGTGGTTCAAGTGGAATTTGATTCGAAAAACTTGGTGGATATATTGAATGGCGTCTTACAAAATGAGGTCATCATTGAAGGTCTTTTGTGGGACTTTCAACAATTAAAGTCGGTTGAGTTTCTGTTCACTTCTTGTGCCTGTAATGGGGCTGCGCATCAGGTGCCATCTTTTGTCACCCATGTGGGGGTGTCCATGTATGAGATTTTTATGAGCTAGAATGGTTGTTTAATGTTCTGACATCTGATGTAAACATTCCAATTAGAATTTAATAATATCTACTCTTTGACACCAAAAAAAGAAAAAAAACTTTCATAGGATCCGAATTCTAATTCTTCTCCTATTCAATTCCTTCTCAATCGAATTTCTCTCCAATTTCAATAATGATTAGTAGACCACTCATAAATGATTTTCTCTATTATAGAAAAATAATTCAAATTATACTAGAGTAATTTACTCGTTTGGATTAATCTTATTTGTTAAATTTCTCTATTGAAAGATATTTGTTAACTTATTTGTTAGCTTTTGCATTAATCTTTGACAAAATATAAACAACTATTTCTGTAATTCAAGTTTTCGTCGCGCAAGTTTTCGTTGCGCAACAATCACTCCTAACCCCCAAAATAGTCATGGAATTAGGAAAAAGAATATTGGCTTAAAGTAAGGCAGCCAATACACCCACAAAAGGTGCGTTGATATATGTGGTTGGCTCCGATTGTGCAACATTAGATCGAGAATCTTCGAATGTATCGTTTTCAGCAGGTCCTCCCACAATAGCACCTGTTAGCAAGTTAGGGTTAGGACTGTTGCTCTTGAAATACTCGTCTCCTCCATGGCACTCGATATGTTGCGGGTGTTGGTCGATCGAAGGTATCACAGACCCACGGTGATGTATTTTCTGAGGAAACTTTTGCCCAAATCCAACCATGTATGACATCCCTAGTGGGTTTTTTCCTAGTATATAATCAACCTGCATTGATATTATTGCAAATCAAATTTCAGTCACCAATTAATATTAGTTCAAGAAACATACTCAGTTATTCCTCCTTATAAATGAATCCCAGTTTAATGTGTGTGCATATAAACTATTTTTTCCATTGCTATTAAACCATGACCGCAGTTACGTGGGAGTGAATTTTTCAGAAGCTAAACAATGTTAATAATTACTGCGTTTAACATATATATACACACACACCTGGCCTTTGGTGAAATCCACCAATTTAGCTGGAGTGACAACAACATTGTTGCCACAGTCGATAACTTTGTTGTTAGCTTTCATGTAGCCTGCATAAACTGAAAGAAGAAATGATAGGGACGTTGTATGTTGGAGGTTACTTCCACCAGGTTTGAACAAGAGCCCACCTAATCCATGAAAATACAAGGGGGAAAAAAGATTAGATTAACATATAATGAATACTAATCACTTCCACACATGCAGTGTATATTGGGTCACATTAATTTGGAAAAATAACATGACATATTTACATACATACATATATACATAAATACATACATACATATATACATAAATACATACATACATATACACATAAATACATACATACATATACACATATATATACACACACATATATATATATATACACACACATATATATATATATATATACACATATATATATACATACATACATACATACATATATACATATATATACACACACACATATATATATACACACACATATATATATATACACATATATATATATATACACATATATACATACATATATATATATATATATATATATATACAGAATTCCTATACATATACATAAAATCAACTTTTACTGGTCTTTTCTGGGAAATTTACCTGGTGAATATGTGACTGATTTTTGAGCAGGTGATTCAGGCAAAATGGAGCATACAAGTTGGTCTGCCTTGGGAATAAAGGGATTAGAATTATTGGGATCAGTCATTGCCCACTGCAACAATTACAGCTTATTGGGATCATTCAGTATATAATTATTAAGGTTATTTATCTATTATTAAAGAACAAAAAATTGATCTAATAATTTGACCTGAGAAACGAGTACGTTGATGCCAGCATGTTTTGAATCCCACCCAAATTCAGTGACATCACCAACTATGTTGTTTCTGACATAGTTCCAATAATCTGGTGTATTGGTTGCCTTGTATAACCACGCAGCTCCCCAAACCAATTCATCCTGCATGCAACAGTTAATTAGTTTTAATTTATTTGGGGTTTTTACGAAAAACAATATCAAAATTTTGACAAGTAATTAAAATTTAGAAGCTTACAAATTTGAAATTTGGAAAATAAACAATTTAAGTGACACCGGTAATTAATTATACCATGTAGCCGCTAAAATCACAGTAAAAAGGACACACTCCGCTACCAATATTGTCACCGTAAGAGCCCTTGTACTTATCTGCAAATTCAAAAACCTAATATCCACATACAAAAAAATTTATTTAGACCAAAAGTTTCGATCAATATAAAAAATAGAAACATAAGAGAAATTCTACTTAACTGCTATTTGTGTGTGCGCGTGCGCGTGCAGGTCGATTTTCATGCTTGGATAAATGGCTTTGTCTTTGCAACTGATATGGTGTTAAATTGGATTTTGATTTTAATTGGTCCGTTGTTTATGATACATTAAATATACATTGAGGTATACTATAATATAAAAATGTATCTATATAAAATACTAAATGAGGATAATCTATTACATGATGGTAAAAAAAATTAAAATAAAGCCACTAAAAGAGAATTTGAAAAGAAAAAAAAATCTATTTTCACCCAAATTTAAAAAGAGTTGATTTTCAAACACCCAATTTTATTTCTAGCTACCGAATTGTAAATCAAACCAAAACAATGGATATTATTAAACATGGATGTGTAAGAGAAGAAAAATGACACGTGTTTAATTCACTTGACAACATGAGTTACTTACATATCTCACGGTTACAGCAAAGGACCAAAAGTAAATCTAATCTAATACCAGGATTTAAAAAAACAAAATAAACTTTCGATGACAATTTGATTTTCTAATAATTATACATACCTCGATGGATCGTTTAAGAAGCAAAGCAGAGTAGCCTTTGTCTGAATCTTTAAAAACCATGGAAGACGCTGCAAGCGCAGCTGCAATCTCGGCCGATACCTCAGAACCTGGCTTTTCTTTTGTTACCACATAAGAGGTTCTAGGAGTGTCCATGTCTTCTGGCCTTTGCCAACAAGTGTGGTCGCCATTGGGGTCACCAACTGCACCAACGACAGAATCAGGAACACTAGTAGCTTTAAGAAAATAGTCAGTCCCCCATCTTATAGCTTCCAAAGCATGTTCATGATCTGCACCCATCGAATTTCCGAACTCTAGAACGCTCCATGACAACATCGTTGTAGTGAACGCCATCGGAAAGTTGAACTTCACATTGTCACCTGCATCATAGTACCCTCCTACAAGATCCCTCTGAGGATGGAACAAGGGCATGTTTAACATACGTACTAGACAATATTACAACATATATGCATGGATATATATGGAGGCCTACATATTTTTATAGATCATTCAAATTAAACATAGGTTTAATTTTTTTTCTCCCCTGGAAATTTTAAGTTAATACAAGTCTTATACTTTTGGGTAAAAAATTATCAAAAAGATATATGGGATGTGATGTCTGTTGATCGCCATGCCCCCAATACCATGGTACTTTACAAGTTGTCGTTGGTATCGCATCATCTCTGTTTAGGCCGAAGAATAAAGGTTAGTTTTCACGCCGGTTCAGCAAGATCAATGTTGACCATACCTTGTGCTAAATGGTCAATTTGTATCCAGTTGATGAGGAACAATAATTTTTTTTTCATAGAACTGACCAAAAAAATAAAATAAAATAAAAAAAACAATTTCCACACGACGAGTTATATATAAGGCTGCCTATATATACAATCGTGTGTCTATCTTGAGAGAGAAACTTACGCCAATATCAGAGCCATCTTTTAGGGCAGAATCTTTTCTCCAAGTTAGTCGTTGCGAAGGTGGTAACTTTCCTGACCTTTGCCCCTCAAAAAATAAAAGGCACTTCGACAAAGCATCCTTGTAGTTGTTTTGGGAAGCAAAGGTTTGTGCTGTGGCTATCGCCAACAGCCACGCCAATATCAACACCCTGCTTACAAGGTTGCTACACATGATTTTTTGACCCTTCTTTCTTTTCTATCTCTAGACTACTTGAGCTTGTATATGAAGAAGAAAAGAGTATGAGTTAGAGAAAAATAACTCAAACAACCGTTTATATACTAAACACAAACCCTAATCAATAGGAAAACCTAATTTATGAAGGAAAACATAATCACAAAGAAAAAGGTAAGAAATCGTACTAAAATCTTAAGCGATCATGTAGCCTAGTAAATAGCCTTGTTTGGGAAAGGATTACTAGGGAAATTTTATTCAAATTCAATATTTCTTCTTTTACACTCTCAATATTCTTTTTATAATCATAATTCTTTTATGAGAAATACTAGCGATCTTTTCTATTTGTCTTTCTCCACTTGTTTTTCACACTCAGTGGATATCATGTGGATTTATCTTATACCTAAATCTATGTATTAATTGTTTAAAACATCTTTCTTCTCTTTTCATTAATGCCCCTAGTTAAATCCTCTATGTCAACCAAATCATTAGATTATCTACCAAAACTTGACAAATCTAATTCTTTTAATTATTAATATTAATTTTTTATACAAATTTAGTTTTTTGGATTCTCCTTTCTTTTTTAGAATAATATGTTGATACTCCCAAAACTAAAAAAAACAAAAAAAAAAAAGAAACAAAAATAAAAAGAAGAGTCTAGAAAAATGAAACTTGTATAAAAAAATAATTAGATTTGTCAAATGTTGATGGATAATCAAATGATTTGGTACACATGACATCCACTGAGTCAGAATGGCAAGTAGAGGAATGTAAATGGAGAAGGTAGCTACTAGCTAGCATTCCTTTTTTATTTTTGTGAAATTACTATACCTTTATAGACGCAACCGTTAAGTTTGAAATTAATACATATCTTTTTACTCTTAATAGTAGTTATACGATTTGGTTTCTTAGATAGTTCTCTAGAAAATAAATTGCAATGGAGTTGATTTATTTATTTATTTTTGGTATCACAAGTTGATTTTGGATAAATGATCATGTTGCTATTTTATTGATGAAAAGCGCCCCTAAGTCTGAGGCTCAAGCTGCTATTTTATGGACTGTCGTCTCAAATTAATTGTTTGATGGGAGACTTTCTATACAAACGAGTGAGTTTAGCCTTATAATAGGTTAACAACAATGTGGTTCAAATTCATCTTTATCGAGAATCAAACCTAAGATCTCTTACTTACAAATAAATAGGAATACTACTAGACTAAACTTTTATTAGTTTTAGTATTTTAATTGAAGGAAAAATTCACCAGTTTACCACCTAATAACAAAATCAAACGCACATTTACCCCAATTTACAAGGTATGCCACGTCTATCCCATTCAACCACTAAAAAAAAATACCATACCAGACGAAAAAATTTCGTTGTGTAAAACACGGTTTCGTCACCATTTAATTTTAGGCAACGAAATCGCATCGAACAAAGATTGTCTCACAAAAACCGTTACTTGACGAAATTCAGAATTCATTGAGCTATGTTGTTTTACCCGACAAAATTACCGACGACCATTTTGTCACATGAAACTGTGTTGACCAATTAGGCCCGAAGAAAGGCACATACGCGACCAAACATTTTATGTGGGCAAAGTTTAAATTACAAAACAAAATTATAAATTGTATTTTACTTGATGAAGATTTCGTCGGGTAAGCTTTATAAGCAAAAATATTAAAATGTAAAACCCATGCCCAACATTCTGACACATCCCGACCCGGGATGTTCATTAGGACTCCAAATCGAGTTGTGCTGGCCGACATCTGGAAGGTGACGAAGCCATAAAGTATGATGATGTGGAAAATTTTGAATAAATTTAAACCTAAGAGTGCCTAAATACCAGAATGCGCTGGTGAGCGGGAATGAACCTACGTCACACGTGACGTTAGAGCATAAGCAAGTACAGTAAAGTGAATTAAGAATCGTACCCTCGAAATAATCTTCAATACTAAGAATCGCCACGAATCTTTGACGATAAGAAAGCTCAGTTAATAAAACCTGGAGGGTGAAAACAAAATAAGGGTGAGTGGCCCTGGAAATAAAAATTTAATAGAAACCATATAAAACATTATAAACCCTCGCTACAACACCTGTATAGTTTCCAGAAAAATCCTAAATATACCACAACACAGCAACTCATCAGCAATATCAATAATCATGTGATTAATAACCCATACTAGCACGCAAGTCAGAGTCACCTATGGTGACCTATACGATTGCACCCATATCTCATCAATTGATGTTAACTCATAAATCGGAGTCACCTATAGTGACCTGTACGACTTACCCATATCTCATCTCATATGCTAGCTCATCACAATTTCATCATATATACTAGCTCATCACATATTTCATCACATATGCTAGCTCATCTAGCTCATCACAATTTCATCATATATGCTAGCTCATCACAATTTCATCACATGTGCTAGCTCATCACATATTTCATCATATATGCTAGCTCATCACAATTTCATCACATATGCTAGCTCATCACATATTTCATCACATATGCTATCTCATCACATATTTCATCATATATGCTATCTCGTCACATATTTCATCGCATATGCTAGCTCATCACAATTTCATCATATATGCTAGTGAAGGGAAATAATGAAATTTATGTGGGATTTCTAGCGACTAGCATGCATATACAATTCAAAATTCATATATTTTCGCAACGGAAGCATGTTATCACATAATATCAAAGCTATAGTCATGCAAATCCCCTTCAATAAGCATAGGTTTATATAAGATGCATCAAAACATTTTATTGAAGAACAAAGTGTAGGAGTAGATTTATACCTCTTGATTTAGACTTGAGACCAATGATAGACCACCTCCAAGCCCTTTGTTGTTGGAACTCCTTGAGCCTAGCCTCCCTCCTTGCTTCCTCCACTTTGCTAGAATGAGTGCTCCTTGGTTCTCCTTTAGTCTCCAAGATTGAAGACCTCTAAAGATCCACACCCACTAGTGTAGTGAGATAGATGGAGGAATAACCAAAGGGAGATAAGATGATTAGCTAAGTCTCCCCTTTGGTGGCCGGCCTATTGTGTTTGAGAGAGAGAGATATGTTTTCTCCTTTTGTTAAATCAACACACAAAAAAACCCTAATAAAACTTTTCACTATAAAGTTCCTTTTATAACACAAAGAAACAAGTCAACAACTTGACTTTCTCTCTCCCTCTCTTTGGCCGGCCCTTTGTGTTTTGTTTTGGGCTTTGGGCTTTGGGCTTTTATCATTTCAAGTCATCCTATGCTTGAATAAAAGCCCAATGGGTTTAGGCTCAATGGGCCCAAATAAACCCGAACTTTTCTTTAAGCCTAAACGATCTTTTATCGCTTTTATGATTTCTTTAGACTTTCTAATTAATCACAACACTTAATTAATCCAATTAATTATTTCCATCATCCATTAGTTGTCTCACTGCAAGAGTGTATCGATGTACAATCATTTTAGGTTCTAATTAGCAAGGCAGTGAGGTGATTGGCACCAATCCAATTGATTATATTTAATCCAATCACTTAGTGAATTAAAACTTACTTTTAATTCTCCTTCTTCTTTGATGACTACTTATTTAATCATCTAGAAGAACTCACAAGCCATGAGTGACATCTAACCATATATCATGGCTACCCAAGCTAATGTAGAATTTGTTCGGAGAACCTATTCAGTTGGAATTACAATGTAATTCGATCATTCTCTAAAACACTACTCTCAATCACACTATTAGGGTATGGATATATTATGTCAAACCCCTAATGTGATTATGCCATGTTATATGATTCAATTGAGTCGTATAGGAACGCTTTCCTTTATTACGCTCGATACTTCGGTCGAAGATTCCTGAATCATATCTTAGAGTATTCAACCTCTCATAAAGAGGATTAGAGATCCCTTGTTGCGCATTCACTTGCCTCCATGGCTAAGTGGCTTAACCCCAACTATGCCGTGGACACCCGCGGATGGAGTGACTTTGACATAATCAAAGATCAAAGACCTAACCACAAGACAACTATGATGCCTCAGGTCAAATGACTACTTACATTATTCCAACCATTAGAGTTACTTGCTTGACATGTGAGTAGACCTCCATGCAAGTACTCTCGTTCGATTGTGTTCAGTGAACTCATTCCCTTAATGAACACCTACATACCTGTCTTAGTGTCACTACACGAATGGGATGAGACTTTCCATCATTCCAATTGAAGGGGACATAGTATGTACTGGTCTTTG